CGCTCTGGTATCTGATCATTTCATTAGAGTCTTAGTCTGCATTCATTAACTGAACTTGAGGCAAGTCACTTACATTCTCTAGCAATCCATTTTCCTGTCAATAAAACGGGAATGGGGACAGGGTCTACATTTTTATAGTAGGTTCAGGAGACAGTCTATATAAAGTACTTAAAGCAGGACCAGACACCAGCAGATACTCCAAAATGGAAGTTGTTAGTATCCCTGGTCTCATTGCATACAAATGCATGATTAATGTGCTATCGGTTTATTTATTTTAAAAATGACTATTCACTTGCATAATTTATTTAATTTTAAGAGATTTACTTTTTATGATGTTTTAATTATGTGTGCACGTTGAGGGGGTATGTACTTGTGAATGTGGGTAGTCCGTGAAAACGAAGACAATGGGCTCAGTTCCTTACAAGTCATTGTGAGCACACAGGCATGGGTGCCAGGAACAGAACCCACGTCCTCTGGAAGGGCAGCACACACTCTCAACCACTGAGCCATCTCTCCAGTCCCTTATGAGAGAAAGAACACTGAATAGCACCTATTGCATAGAATCTATAAAACAATAACATGAGTTTTCTCAGTCTATCTTATAATGTTGAGAGGTTTGACAGTGTGAATGGTCCCAAACTATTTACTTTAAATAGCAGTTTATGGTAATGGAATGAATGAATGCTCATCAGAGGTCTGTATGTTCGTTATGATGTCATTGTGTCTGCAAAGCAAGCAGTTGTCACCAACAATCCGAGATTACCTTGGAATTATACTAATTTTACTAACAATACTTAACAAAGTGGCTTGAGGAATTTGGTATATGTGATAGTGCTGGAAGCAGACGGTGCCTCCAGATGTGCCTTACACTTTCCACCCACGCTCTCCATCAGCTGCTCCAGAAGAGAGACCTAAGCATTTGTATGTTCAAAGCCTTGCACGGGTGATTCTAGCGTGCAAGCAACCAGGCTCCTTGATCCCCCACACATTTACCTAACACAGGGACAGCTACGCGATCTGCCCTTGTCTGAACTGTCTTTGGTAATTGTAATCCCACAGTCACTGTCATTGGGGATCATGATCAGGCTAGGACAGTTTTCTTGTCACTGTTGTGACTCCTTCGCATCTGCAGTTGGGGTCCTTCATAGCTTCAGATTCTTGCTTGCTTTATGCACAGGTCACCTGTGCGTGCGTGCATGCGTACGTGTGTGTGTGTGTGTGTGTGTGTGTGTGTGTGTGTGTGTGCTGCATGCACGCACACATGTACATGCACATACACTAGGGAATCAAGCTCAAGGCTTCACATACTCAAGCATTTACTCAGCTACTCTTTCAGAACTCAGTGCAGCTCCACGGTCAGCTCCCCAACCCGCTCCTTGTTGCAAAGATCTAGTTTTCCTTCCAGGACTTCCCCACCTCCTTTTTTCCCCCTCTCCTCGCTGCACTAGTAGGGGACAAGGCACGTGAGCCTGAACAGGCACTTACATCTACATTGAGGAGTGCACATTTTTAGAATCAGCATGCAAAGGCATACTATCCACGCTCCATACAGAGACAGGGTTTTAGTCTATAGTATGCACCAGGTCAAACCCAATAAACCAACTTGCCATCTCCAGTAAGCATTCCAAATCGACCTGTGGCAGTGAGTCCAGGGAGCCTGTGGTCATCGGCCCTACACTGTCAAAACTTGATTAGTAACCCATACCTCCATCAGCTGGAGAAAGACAAATATGTACCTCTGAACATTCACATGAGATGCCTCAAATCTAGTTACCCTGCATGCCACCTTCCCCATTCCATCAGATTTAAAGAAAAAAAAAAAACTCCCTTTTAAATCTCCAATTTAAAATCTTCCCACCTTCAACCAAATGTACCTAGCTTCAGAGTCCTCCTTCATTTGTCCAGATGTCCCTGGTTTGTCCTTGTGTCCGCCATCTTTGTTAATTTCCACAAGGGCAAACAGAGCCGTGTGTGTGAGCGGCACACTGAACTGTAACACAGAGCCATGTGTGTGAGCGGTACACTGAACTGTAACACAGAGCCATGTGTGTGAGAGTGGCACAGTGAACTGTAACACAGCCGTGTGTGTGAGTGGCACACTAAAGTTTTTTTTCCAAGTCAGAAATGCTACCTTTAGGGGTCTGTGGGATGCAGAAGAGAAGGGTATTACAGTAAGTGGAAGTGGGCAGTGTGGCTTGTGGCTCACAGCGTGAACATGAACCTTGGATACAGATGCCCCTAGCTCGAGTCCTGGCTCTGCTACTTTCGAACGTATGGGCATGGGCAAGTGACCCCACAATCTGTAACCCAGTGCCCTTATGTATAGAAATGCTTGCAATGACTACAGTATCTGAGCCACAGGTGGATGGAGGGGGTATGACGCTTGACTATTTGGAGTTTAATGCTATGGAGAAAGGTGAGGAGAAGGAGAGAGGAAAGAAGCCAGTTAATTGGGCTGGACTTCCTGAAAAGCAGCAGGAAGCAGGGCCTGAGTGCTGACTGTTCCCTTAAATAGGACACACCTTCTTCCATTTTCATGGCCTCCACTGTCTGCCTTCATTAGTTATGACATGATCTGGCCCCATGCGTATCTGCTCACTGGGCCAAAAATATTTTGTTTTCAAAATGCAATAATCCTCAGAAATATATAGACACAAATACTGCCTAGCTCAAAAAGGGAAACACACTGATAGGGGAGGGATCTTATCTCTCAATGGCGGGCTGGAAATTGCTCTGTTTTTTCAAAGTCTGAGTCAAGTATCCTCTTCTGAGACGTCTGCTGAAAAATCTTATTTTAAAATTCTAGTTTAGCCGGGCGTCCAAGATGTCGAAGCGAGGACGTGGTGGGTCCTCCGGAGCGAAATTCCGGATCTCCCTGGGTCTTCCGGTAGGAGCTGTGATCAACTGTGCTGACAACACAGGAGCCAAAAATTTGTATATCATCTCTGTGAAGGGAATCAAGGGACGGCTGAACAGACTTCCTGCTGCTGGTGTGGGAGACATGGTGATGGCCACGGTTAAGAAAGGCAAACCAGAGCTAAGAAAAAAGGTCCATCCAGCCGTTGTAATTCGACAACGAAAGTCATATTGAAGAAAAGATGGGGTGTTTCTCTATTTTGAAGACAACGCAGGGGTCATAGTAAACAATAAAGGTGAGATGAAAGGTTCTGCTATCACGGGTCCAGTTGCAAAGGAGTGTGCGGACTTGTGGCCAAGGATTGCATCGAATGCAGGCAGCATTGCATGACACTCTAGTGCATTTGTAAAATAGATTCATTAAAAGGCTTTCTTCTTGGAAAAAAAAATAAAAATAAAAAAAATAAAAAATAAAATTCTAGTTTAGGACTGGAGAGATGGCTCTCCAATTAAGAGCACTGGCACCTCTTCCAGAAGTCCTGAGTTCAATTCCCAGCACCCACATGGTGGCTCCCAGCCGTCTATAGTGGGATCTGATGCTCAGTTCTGGCATGCAGGTGTACATGCAGATAGAGCATCATATATATGAAAGTATAGTTTTAAATCACTGAATAAATTGTTTAGATACTGGGGACAGAACCGAACCCTTCCTTGTGCTAAGAAGGTATATTCTACTTCTGAATTGCTATCCCTAGCCCACTCCCAAAGCAAGTTTACACAGACGTTAATTTCAGAGGCTGCGAGCATGTTGTTTACCAACCACAAAGAAGTGTTCTGCTCACAGGGTTGTTGTTCTTGGGAAGAAAAAATCACTGATTCAGTTAAAGCGGTTTAAAAATACTCACTTTTATTTCCAACTAACATTAACTGCAACAGCCTGAGGTATTAAATCTAACCCCAAAGAGATCGCTTGCCGCAGCAAAGCAGAGATTCTGTCATTACCTTACCGCTTCCAGCACACAGTGGCTCAGTTTACCAAATCTGCATAAAAGGGATTTTTGAAGTTAACTTTCTAGACAAAAATAAAGTCTTTCTTTACAATTTTGTTGCACCAGATTAGGCAAATAAGCAAGATGTATTTAATTAAAAGAACCGGGCGTCACATTCACTGTGAACTATAGTATTTCCTTGTAAATTATTGAAGACTCACTGAAGACACCACAGTAGGCTGGGGAAGCCTGAGATCCATCCCAGGATCCTGGAGTGGAAGAGAAAACTGACTCCCAAAAGTTGTCCTCTGGTTGCCACAAGAGTATATGCACCATGCTCTCTCTCTCTCCCTCTCTCTCTCTCTCTCTCTCTCTCTCTCTCTCTCTCTCTCGTGCGCGCACACACACACACACACACACACACACACACAAAGAGAGCAAAGAAAACCCCAAAGGGGGCTGGAGAGATGGCAAGGTGGTTAAGAGCACTGGGCTGCTCTTCCAGAGGACCTGGGTTCAAGTCCCAGCACCCACATGGCAGTTCACAACCACCTGTAACTTCAGTTTCAGGAGACCTGACACCCTCACTCAGACACACATGCAGGCAAAACACCAATGACCATAAAATGAAAATAAATTTTAAAAAAGAAAACACCAAAGAATAGATATCTTAAAGTTCCAAAAAAGTATCGTTTGCTTTTTGTTTTTGAGACAGAGTCTCACACTGTCCAAGCCAGTCAGGAACTCTCTACATAGGAGAGAATGGCCTTGAAGATCTGACCCTCCTGCTTCACCTGTGCACGGTTGGCATCACCACGGTCTGTTTTATTTCATGCCTGGGAATTGAACCTACAGCTTCATTCATGCGTAGATAATCACTAATTCTCTAATTCTCTAAAAATATTTGAATATTAAAATAATTTGGGCCATTTTGTAAAGCCAGGTGACATCACTCACCTATGATAGCATTTGCATATTTATGTGCACATTGCAAAGCGAGCGCAACAGGAATAACTTACAAGCGCGAGACCTGACTTTCCCAACCCCCAACTTAATACAGAGGAGCCCAAAGGAGAGGGAAGGGGAGTGAGGGGCAGGTCTCTGGGTTAGCTGAGTCCCTTGCGGGGAGGACTGGCAGGTCTGGGTCGCACTCACCCAGGCCGCGCCAGCCCAGCGGACCGTCACAGCTGTCCAGGATGGTGCACAGCTCGCCCAGCAGCGCGGGCGGCAGGTCGAACAGCAGCGTGTGCGCCGACAGCGCGCCACGGGTCCCGCACAGGCCAGCCATCGCAGAGCCCCGGACCCCACGCGGCGAAGCAGGGCTGTCGCCGCCGCTGCCACCTCCTTACACAACCGCGGAAATCCAGCTCCTCGACCGCTGCCCCGAGCTTGCAACATGCCTCGCCCCGGCCCTCGCAGGGCGGATCCCACATGACGCGGGGAGCCGCTCCCCAGGGATGCCCCTGCAAGACCTGGGCCGTCCCCCTCACCCCCACCCCCGGCCCTGCGCCCCGCCTCCTGTCCTCGTGTTTTGAATGGTTTCAGCAGTCCTCGGCTGGGGATGTGACCCGACCGAGGAGACCAGTCAAGAAAGTGAAGGCGGCAGACAGCGGCAAGAATCCGGGAAAGCCACCACCCCTCTGCTGCCCTGGAATGGGCGGCCTCCTGGACGTGGGGGTCTTCGTTACTTCTCTTAAAGTTTCTCTTTGTCCGTCCGGAAAGAAACACAGACTCACCGAGAAACTCATTTTCCTCTCCTGTTTTAACCAAATAAATTTAGACGGAAGAAAACGTATACACACTGTGCGTGTGGGGGGGGGGGGGGAGATGGATGTAGACAGTAACCCCCAACAAACAGGCCAAACCAGTGCAGAAACGGCTTATCCTTGCGGCAGAAGGCAGCCCTGCCACAGTGCCGCTCGTTTTTGTTTGTTTGGGTTTTTTTTCCTATCACATTCTTCTTTTCCTTCCTCAAAGTGCTTAAACGAGCTTGCAACATGGAGTTTAAGTAACCATGGCTGCTATTTTGAAATATTCAACCGTTTATACTGTAATGGTCCCCCGCAGGAACGATACGGACGCTGCTGACAAAAGAGGTCTTCAAGGCGGGTGGGCAAATGTCATCTCCGAAGTGGGAGACCGGACAGTGGCATCCACTGAAAAACAAGCTGTTGTTCCAAACTTCTCAGATCTTACCCTTGGGAACAGCTCCCCCTGGAGCTCAGCAGAGGTGGTGCAGGGGCATGAGATACCCCTGCGTGAATTCCCCAAAATAGCAGTAGTCTGTAAAAACACACATGAAAACTGGTAGCTAGAACGGTTGGGGCGAAATTTATGAGGTCTCTTCTTTCCAATGACTACGGTTTTATCAAACTACAAACTGAAAAGGGTCTCTGTGTTACTATGTTGAGGGAAGAGGGAGTTACTGTACTGGGCACTTTTTGGCTTCCTAGGGCAAGGCGTGTGCCTCGACAGGGAATCGCCATGTGGACTTGTGTTAGACTTCTGACAAAATGCCCAACAGAGCGACTCAAAAAGAAAGTAGGCTTGTTTGACTCAGACTTTCGGTCCATGGTTGCTTGACCTCAGTGTCTTTTGGGAGCCTGTGATAAGTCACGGTGGGAGTAATGGTACAGAAGGATGCTTACTTCAGGACAGCTGGAAAGTAGGGAGGGGGAGGGGGACTGGAGAGATAGAGACTGTATGTGTAAACACTAGAGTGCCAGAATTCCCTTCCAGGGACCTGGTTTATCAGGCCAGCAACCGAGTTTTTAGTATATGAGCCTTCAGAGGACATTTAAACTCTACACCATTACAATGATAGCAGCACTCAGAAATACCGGTATCATCAGATCTTCTCATTTACCACGAGGCAAGGAGAAAGAGATTGGGGACAAGATATACCTTTCAAAGTCAGGCCTCCAACGACACAATCTATCCGTGAAGTTACTCCCCTTGTAAGCTAGTTTGCCTCTCAACACTGCCACCAACTGGGACCCACGAGTTCAACACATGAACTTTTAGAGCTTCCTGTCCAAGACATAACAGACATTTCTTCCCTCTCTAGAAGTGAACCGTCTACACCCCACCTAAATCTCAACTTTGACGGCCGCCATGAATACCATCCATGTTATCCCTCTCACGGTAACCGAAGGGAATGAGGGTGGCTGTTGTCATTTATCTTTGTGATTTTAACTGTTTGTCACTCTCCTGGCTCATCTCCATCAAATTATAAACACAACACACTCTCCAAATCTTCTGGAGAGGTTCATGTAGCCGTTCCTCAGGATTTTTGCCAGGGATTAGTTCCAAGGTTCGGATCTTGAGCATGAGACGGGACTAAAGAGCAGGAGGGTGCGGGTGGTAGTTCCAGTGTGTTAGTAAGGTTCCTAGTCATTCAGGCGCGGCTGCCATGTTTTCCAAACTGCCTCCTACACTACAGGCCACCTCTGGAGTTGGATTCAAGTGTAATGGAAGAGCTCATTATAGACAACAAAAAATCCAGTCATTCCAAAAATCCCAGGGATGGAGGGGGTGCAGTGTTTATTACAGCCTACGTTCACAACTGCAGGGAGACTCCAGGACTTAAGCATCAATGCTGACTGCTTTTTATAAACTGACCCACAAAACTATGGGGCTTTTCCTGCTTAGTTTTCTTCCAGTTTTTATCTCCAGACATATTCATGTTAAAATCACTGAAAGCTCTCCATTACAGAATGGAGTCCGGCTGATCAAAGTTCTTAGGAGTCGGTTTTATGATGGTTATGTTCATTACCTACTTTCCCTCCCCCTCTCTGACGATCTCCCCAGTTCCTCAAGAGCTACCAAATCTGACCTCTCCTGTGACATTCAGTGAAGAGGGACCTTTACTGAGCAAATGTGAGCTTCATATGGTGTCACTACGACTTCCCTAGCAATTCCAGTGTGGGGACATTCTAATGGTTAGTAAACACTGGAGAAAACTCACGCCTAGAGAATTTACCTTGGACTAAAAGTTTGGGTGCTTTTACAGTAGTCCACCAGTCTTACAAAGTTTCAGTTGTACCCATTAAAGTCAAGCTGCCAACAAAATTCCATAAGTTTAAAAAGGATATAAGCTGGGCATGATCACATATGCCTTTAAACCAGCACTTGGAAGGCATAGGCAGGCAGGGATCTGTGAGTTTGAAATCAGCATGGTTTTAAATAGTGAGTTCTAGGCTAGACAGAGACACAAACACAGTGAGATTCTGTGAAAGAAGAATAAGACTAGAAATAGCAGTAAGAATAGGAGGGGGAAGGAAGAGATAGAAAACAAAAAGTAAAAAAAATGCAAAAGTAGTTTCATCTTAAATCTTTACTGTTTTTAGTATTGAATGCAGATGTCAAACTTGTGTTTTCTAGGTGTGTTGTTCTAGAATGAATACGCCTTTCCAATGAGAAATTACTCTGTGAAATTAGAAATTAATAAAAGAAAAAGCTCTTTAATAGAGCACATGTCCAACCCTGGTTAAAGCCCAAAGAGAAACTAGCTTGAATAGAAAACCCTGCTAACTTATATATACCTTAGGTTTATGCATTACATATACGCTGCCATCTAGAAACTTCTTTCAGGTTTTGGGCTATGGCTATGCCTTGAATGATTTAAACAGAAAGTGGAGACTGCAAGCCCGGCTACCAAGGCACATAGGAGATGCACACAGCAAAGATTCTGCATATTGTACAATTGCTTTAAGTGTTCCTGTGTTGTTCTTTCTCAAATACTGTTACCCAGAGTTGTTGTTCTCACCTGGCAGAATTGTGCTTTTCTCAAGAAGAGAACTGAGCTGGATGTGGTGATGCACACCTTTTTTCTTTTTTTTTTTTTTTCTTTTTTGATTTTACGAGACAGAGTTTCTCTGTAGCTTTGGGCCTGTCCTGGAACTAGTTCTTGTAGACCAGGTTGGCCTTGAACTCACAGAGATCCACCTGCCTCCGGAGTGCTAGGGATAAAGGCCTGCGGGTGGTACACACCTTTAATCCCAGCAGCACTCAGGAGGCAGTGGCAGGCGGATCTCAGTGAATTTGAGGCCAGCCTGGTCTACAAAGCAAGTTCCAGGAGCTGCTACACAGAAAAACACCAAAACCAAAACCAAACAAAAACAGAAAAACAAAACAAGCAAAAGAGGGGGAGGAAGGGAGAGGGAGAGAATCCAGGTCTTAACTTTGGCTGTGACCCTGCCCTGCCCTGCCCCCCTAGAGCTGCCTGTTAAAGGCATGCTCTTTGATACAGGGTTGTAAGTCAGGGTTATTGCCTAAGCAGCTCTATTAGTAGACACTCTCCACTCTAGCTTGACTGAGTTGGTGGACTATAAGGAAGAGGTGCCACAGTTAGACGTCTATCCTTCCCTTTCCTTCCGTGTCTCCCTTCTATGTGAGTGCTTTCCTAATACCAGAAAGGCACACCAGTGGAAAAAAGGATGCAACAAGATTTGCTGGTCATTCACATTTTTTTAAAATGATGTATCTCTCTCCTTTCAGAGTGAGGTCTGTCTAGCAAGGAGAACTAGGCTTCTAGCCTGCCACTGTCCTCCCTTCTTCTTGTACTCAGTAGCAGATGTCGTTTGAGTATAGCTTAACTCCCATGTGTTACAGACACAAACGAATTCTTTGCTTGTTGGGCATCCTGAGCGCTGAAGTGTGAGTGTTGACACAGCGGACACCACTGCTGTGAGCACGCAAGCTTCTCATCTCCAGTGTCCTTTCAGGATTCACTTTTAAACACAAGCTTGGGGCAGCACGAGTAAGATTTCTAGAATGGCAACAACTGAGAGTTAAATGAAGTGCAGGGTCCTTCTGAGTGCATGGTCTCTGCAGTATCCGAAGCAGTGTCTTGAAGTATCCTAGGCAACACCTTGAAACACATGCTGGTTGCAGCTCACATTACTCCTCAGTCTTGACACTGCTGGTTCCTTAGTTTTAACCACTTGACAAGTGCTTAGCGATATTTCCTTTTGATATTTAGCTGCACTTTCTCTGACCAGTAATGAGAGTAAGCATTTCCTATGTGTTTGCAACCTATTTGGCTCCATTCTATGAATGGAGCCACCTAATCCAGTGCCACCTAATCCAGTCTCTTGTCCATTTTATGTTGGCTGCTTGCTGTAGGGGCTGAGTCTGGATTTCTGATCATTGATATTGTGGTATGAAATGGAAGCTTTAGATAGATATGTATATTAAAATATTTCCTAGTCTGTTGTTTGGTCTTTACTCATTCATGATAAATTTTAATCACTAGTTGTTCTCAATGTTTATATAGTTTTCCAGTCTTCTGAGATTAAATAATATTTTAACAGTTTTCAGACATCTTTGCTTTTCTTCAAATTATAAAGAGATTATTTTACACAACTTTAAGTTTTATTGTTTTGTCTTTCACATTTAGGGGACAATCCAACCAGAATTAATTCTTTCTGAATGATAGGCTAGT